AGAGAATTGTTATGGTAGGGTTGATTTCTTTTTGTTGTTTAATCAGTATGTTAATGTAAATTTCGTTTGTGATATTTTCAAGTGCTTCCTGTAGCTGAACTAGGCTTGTTGGTATCATTGGTTTCTTGTTAGTTTTGATTTCATAGATTTTGTTGTGTCTGATAGGTATGTTGATCCAGTCTAATAAGATGTGTTCGAAGTAGTATTCTTCTCTCAGAAGTTTCACTGTTTCTACTAGTATTCTGGATGATATGATAGGTATTGTAATGTTGAATTCTTTGATCTCTGTAGGGCCTAGTGGTAGTCTTGGTTTGTTTGTAGGGTTGGCTGTCAGAATTGCCTGGTTTATCGGGAAGTTTATCTTGTATTTTGCTTTTGTTTTGTTGAAGAATTCGCGTGCAATTTTGTCATCGGTAATTGGGTAAGTGTATTGGATGTGTAGTTTCAGTTTGTTTGGGTCCTGTAGTAGGGTAGGTTTTTGTATGAAGAAATCATTTGGTATGCTTCTGAACTTGTAATATTTTCTAAGTGTCTTTGCTATATCTCAGATATTTGTTTCTTTGAGTGATGAGTCAATAGGGAAGAAGTGTCTGACTCTGCTATTTAATTCATAGTAGGTTAGTGGTAGAGGTTCTCTCTCTGGAAGTAGAGCAAAGTAGGTTGGTAGTATTTTTGTGAAGTTGTAGTGGTCGATAAGTTTTCTTTTGTAGAATCATAGATCTTTTAGTTGTTTTGGATCTGTAATAGGGAAGTATGCTCTGAGTTCTTCTTTTAGTTCTGATGGTTTGTCTAGGAGTTTTGGCAGTTCTTTAAAATATGTGTCTGGTAGATTAGAGAAGTTGAAGATCATTTAAGAGAGTTGACGATTGCTCTAGTTTGGGACTTGTGTTCAATTGGTAATTCGAAAGGTAATATATCTCTTGTTTCACTATTTATTTCCTCTGGAGTCTTCAGTAGTTGTTGTCGTTGGATACTGTATGCTTGGTTTATAGCTGTTTGGATTTGTTTGTATTTCTTAATAGGTTTTGCCTATATGAAGTTTCGACTGTATTTAATTATTTGGTATGCTTCACTTGGTTGGAGTTGTCTGAAGTTGAGGTTTGTGAGA